TCAAAATTTCTCAAAACATCGTTTTTGACAGGCTGCTATGCAAAGCGTACGGATCGGATTAACGAGTAAATTTCCGCTTTGGAAAGTGGAGGCTAGAGTTCCCCACGTCGTATGGATACGATAGTAAAACACGACGTTTGGATAGGGTTAATAAGTGCCGTACAACTTAGACAGTCGTTGGACGGCAGAGTAAAGGCACAAATACTATGTCTGCATTATGTGCATAATTTCTTTTCATACACTAGCAAAACCTGGCGGTGTAACTGGGTTCGGCATAACTAGGTTTGACTGTACATTGTTTATTGACCCTTTCCTGTCAGAGGTCTCACCTCTAAGATAACGGCACTGTTCCCATAGAAAAAAAATTTCATCAAATCATCAATAATCCCCCTCAAATAAAACCCCCAATGAGGAATTACTTTGAAGCCTCAAATGAGCATAGAACAGATACAGAGAAATCTATACATGACTTGAAATAATGGCACAAATAAAAACTGACTTACACTTACAATGATGAAACCAAATCAGAGGTGAACGTTTCAATACTGTACATTTGTGTCTGTATTAATATAAAATAAACATACTGTCCAACCCTATGATTAGAAAGAAAAATCTTACAACAACCCCCCGCCCAAATAAAAACAACAAACGAAAAACATGGAGATTTCTACTTCCATCAGCAATATTTTTTTCACACAGTACTGAAAATTCTAATAAACCAATAATTTGGTCAAGAATATTGGGAAGCAAAGGGTGGAACTTAGTGAAAGAAAAACCACCTAATTGTGCCATTGGTCTCTAATTGCATTTGATGGCATGCGAGAACCATACATAAAAAAAAAATTTTCTTACTTAAAAAATTAGTGGGGGCTCTCGTGGCCGAGAGGATGCAGCATTCGCCTCTCAGTCAATAGGTGCCGGATTTGAATCCAGAGAGCGACGGAAATGTTCTTCTCTAAAATTGTCTCCTTTCACCTCCTTTCCAGCTCTCTAACACAATGTTGTATCGTCTGCTTTCATCTCCACTTTTTGCCTCCACTCCATCACCTCCTTTGCCACCTCCTCTGGGCTCCAGACTCTTTCTGCAGCCTTTCTACTGCTACTCATTGGCTCATTTTTACTGCTGTTCATCAGCCACACCCCTGGTCTTATGGTAGGTAAGATCTGTCACCCAGCCTTCTCGGATAAGGGCGAAAAATCTCGGAGGTCCCGTGTGCAAGTTGTCCATGTTAAAGATCCCTTGGTGGTCCAAAATCAATGATTATATACTTCGACTGCCACCTGGGCAAAATCAAAAATTTCCTACCAAACTGAAAATATTTAATGTGCCCCGTGTGCTCATACATGACCTTATGCAGTTGCGAGCGCTATAAAACATTTACCCCTCATAAAAACTTTCTAAAAGCCTAATAAGCAAAACCTTTCAATGAAAACTGTGGTCCCAACCCCCCCCCCCCCCAAACCTCCATAGCACATGGCCACTTTGTTCTCAATGTGTAGATCTATCTTGTTTGCCAGTGGTGACCAAACGTGAACATTCATCTCATTTTCTAGAGTGCTCAGACTTGACCAACTCAAATGACTGGGGGGCTGACAATGGAAACTGTAAAACGCCAAGGCCACTAACAGTATCCACGGAAAATACAGTATCAATATCAGTACATCAAGTACATGTACTGGACTTGAGTGTCCCCCCCCCAAATCAAACTGAGCATTGCACTAATTTGGAGTTACTGCATAACAAAACTTTATATCATATTGTACCTTGTTTCAAATAAAACTTCTGGACCACTGAACAGCTTCAATAAATAAAAGTCAGGAACAACGTAGATTATTCTAGAGCCTTGCTGCAACATCTAAATGGCCAGGGAGATTTTCTATGAGTGCAGGGTTTTACAGCTCCCCTCCCCCCATTTGATATTCTAAGTACCAGGTATTATGAATAACCATGAGTGTCACTGTATAGCAGCTTGACATTTGATGCATGATTACAGTCTACAGTTACGATTTGAAAAAAAAAATCAATCCAACCCACTATCACCTGCCATACTTGAGAGATCTGTTAGGATGTTGTGTGGGTGAAATGAGAGATAAAAGCAGAGACATACAGAGCTGAGAATCACTAGCTTGGGTGCATGGCGAATAGTGCTGTGATAAGTGAAAATTGAATAGCAAATGTTGCTGATGGACTTATACATTAACATGCATAAGAAAAAAAAAACAACAGGTCATGACACACAGGAATCAGGCATTCGTCAAATCTTGGGAATATGGAGCTATTGGTATCATGTTAAAGCTTGTACATTTGTCTTGCTTTCGAAGAATATCCTAATATTCATTTATCTTGAATAGAAGTCGACATATGTTACAGCTGAAGTAAGGAGGTGGAAGTCGCCTGGTGTTAGAGGCAAAATTAGCAAGAAAATGGCCACCAAAGTTTGGGGGAGCTCTAAAGCTTTTAAGAGGCCCCGGAAACTGCAAATGTACATTTTTTGTGTGCCTTTGATCAATGTTTCTCAGTAAAATTTATGCAAAAATGTGTTTTAGATGGACATAACAGGTGTTGAGGCAAAACAAAAACAAAAAATCGGTAAAAATTGGCCAACCATTGAAAAAATATTGATCTGTTTCTCCAATTTCATTATTTTGATGAACACCTGATTTTATTTTAACCACAATGCAACATGCTTCATTGCAGTTTGTGAATTTCACGAATAATACTACCATCAAAGTTTCATTTCCTCAAAATCTCGTTGCCTAGACCTCTGCCACCTTGAATGAAACAGACCTCAATTACACATGTGTGGCACCAAGGTTAAATCCGATCTTCCTCAAAACAGAAGAAACCGACATTTTTTCAGCCTCTTCTGCAATTTCTCCCGCATTTTTTGTTAGAGGCTGAACACACTATTTGTCCACTTAAAAACACATTCCTCCATGGGCTTTGCTGGAAAAACATTGATCACAGGCGCATAAAATGTAAATTTGCATTTTCCAAGGACACTACAACTTTGGAAGTCACAAACTTTAATGGCCATTTTCTACCTAATGTTATCTCCGGCTCTGACATCAGGCAACCCCCACCTCCTTCAATCACAAATATCTCAACTTCTAATTTCTATTCAAGAAAAATTGGTATTTTTCTTCCCATCAAACGCAAAGCCAATGAACAGGCTTTTATTAAGATTAGGGGTTTATACCAACAACTCCATGTGCCCAAAAATTGATGAATGCCTGATTCCAGCGAGTTGTATCTTAAATGGATAGAACAAAGAAAACATTCTCAGAAACAATTTCTTGCAAAAGAATGGTAAAAACAGATCTGCAAACAAACAAAAATTGTTCTAAAGGATTCTACCTGAGAATATATATACCCTCTTGTTGGTTGCTTAAAAACAATATGAAATTTCCATATTTAAAATATATGCATTTGTGGGGACCTCCAATAAAAACTACTGCTTTTATTGAATAAGCGACACATAGACATTGACTGATTGCGTCTTGGAGGTAAACATTTTGTGCATTATAGCAAATACAATGCCACACTGAAGGGATGACATCTATTGATAAAGAATACAGAACTGTTAAAAATAATTGGAATACAAAGCATTGGAAGCACCACATTATTACACTTCTCCATGGGAGATATGTGTAAAATTCCATATACATAGTATGTAATATTGAAAGGAGCACATCTACTGAAATTCATTCAGCAAATCTATTTGAACATAACTTCAGAGTAATTGTAAGAAAACACAATTCATGGTAACAATAATACTATTTTGAGATTGACAAACTGAAGAAATCAACAGCAAAAGTATGAAGGTAAGCAATACTATTTCTCAGAGGATTCCTTAACATGGCAGGATATTTGGCAAGAAAAGATATATATATAAACATGGTGAAATAACCAGCCAAAAAAGGCCTTTTAAATTTCCAACACAATTATGTCGAAATTGTAATCCCCCCAAGAGAAAAGACAACATCACTGTACTATTTGTGAGGCAGCGTGGTGGAATCAGGCTCTCGTCAATTTTTGGGCATATTGAGTTTTTGGTATCATCTTAAAGCTTGTTCATTTGTCTTGCTTTCAATGAAAAAATTATCCATCCATCTTCAATAGAAGTGGAGATATTTTGGGTTGAAGGGGGCGGTCGTCACCCGGTTTAAGAGGTAAAATTAGTGAAAAAATGGCCGCCAAAGCTTGGTAAATTCCAAAGCTGGAATGTCCATGGAAACTGTAAATTTATATTTTTTGTGCCTTTAATCAACGTTTTTCAGAAAAATCCACACAGAAATAAGTCCTTTAATGGGCATGAAAGGTGTTGGGCCAAAAAACAAAAACATGATAAAAATTCAGAAACCTGCGGAAAAACGCTGGTTTCTTCAATTTGATGATTTTGACGAGAGCCTGATTCCACCACGCTGCATCACATTTTTCCTCTCCACCGCACGCTACTCATGTATTGTTTGTAAGTAGGAATGGTGAAAAATGCACAACAGCTAGCCAAGCCTTTTGGAGAAAAAAAAAGCACAAGAGGCCACCGAGTTAACATAAACTGAATAATGTAAGCTGTAGGAATTACAACCTAAGTAGACAAAACATGAATAATTATAAAAGCTATTCTACATCTGGGTCAGCAAAATTTATGTAATTTAATTAAGAGACCGGTTAATTTGACCTGCTAGTCAGGACCAATCTGGACTGCATAGTACTCCTCAGCAACCCAACAGACAGTCAAACTCGAACAAAACTTCTTCCTAAAGCGAGATTCGATTAATGTCTTCTGTGTGCAACAGCCAAAAGCAAAATCATTACACAAGAAGCTGGTAAATACAGATCAGAAAATAGTGAAGTAGATATACCGGTAATGTAAAGACTGATACATCAGTCAGCCCTTTTTCTGTCAAATCATCTGTATTCATTTACATTACAAGAATCTAAGAGTAAAAATTAACATAAAAGTTTTATAACCTAGATAATACAGTATGTGAAAAAAAGTTTTGTACTGGCTCTTAAACAACACCACAGCTGTTAAGACTTCTTTAGCAGATGTAAACCATTAAACAACACATAATGGTAAAATCCGTGTCCACACTGTGTAAGATTATCACACTTCTCTGAACAGCGAAAATCACATAAAGTCTTGCTAATTAATAATTAAAAAATTGTTTCTCATAAAAATTTGATAACACAACAGGCAAAGAATCTTTTTCACAAGTGTCATGGTTTCTCACTCTCTCTGATAACACAAAATGGTTTTTTAACATCTTCATCCAAAAATAGAATACCAGTCACAGCAGCAAAGCCCACAATCAAACATAAAACTTTTAGCAGCCTGTCAGATTCACAATTAAATTCTTTAGGTAAGATTTCAAAGAAAATAATGTACAGAAAAGTGCCAGAGGCAATGCCCTGAAGTAGACCATGGATTAAACCTGAGGAGACAGAATCCCAGAGGTCTGTGATAGTGATACCAATAGCAATACCTACTGGAGAAGACAAAGAAAAAACAACAACTGACTTAATAGCAGACTTCACCGAAAGTTTGCTCTGAACTAAATTCATACCTAAGCTAAAGCTCAAAATACTTTTGTGGAGAACTAACGCGGCAAAAATACCCAGGACTTCTCCTACACTGAGCTGCAGGCCTATTGTTAACCCTTCAAACACAGAATGTAAAGAGAGAGCAAGCAAGAGCAGTAATGTCCTCAGAGGGGAGTGCACCTGTAGAGAATGGTCGGCTGGAGAGTGTCTCTGGTGGTGTCCGTGCTCTTCGTTGGCATGTTCTCTATGAAAACTGGCACCGCCAGAGACAGAATCGTCAGTTTCTTCTGCTTGTATGCCAGCTTGAGTACCACCCACCTTCTGCCTGCGAGTCCTTGACACCTTTTCTGAGTGTACTGCATCAGCACCAGCACCCTCTGTTACAGTCACGTGAGGCTCATCACAAATGCCTCCAATAGAGTAGTCACTGTGGTACGACTCTATCATCTCATCCTTGTTCTCTTCTTGGTGACCAAGCAATGGTTGCCTGGGGTCATTTTCCTCTTGCACAACAGCAGGTCTCTCTTTAATAGTCAGAACAATTTGTTCTATTATGAGGATAATAAATAAACCAATAACTAAAATAAACTCTGCGACAGGGAATCCAGTGTACACTTTCATATCATAGAGAACCTGTATTAGATTACGCTGTACACTGGGAAGAAGATCAAGAAAACAAGTAGCAAGGAATACTCCTGCAGCAAGGCAATTCAGAAAGCTCAGAACTCTCTTGTATGATGACAGTCTGCTCCTTTGGTCCGCGGTTTCCATGTTAGAGCTTGAATCTGATCTATTTCTGTGCGACGCCTTTTTCACAACATTAATGATGAAAACAGGGATCATTCCAAATAAAAAGGTCATGACCAACAGGCCAGCCAATACAATCACTTTCACCACATCTACAGAAATGGCCATTTTCTATTTTTGTTGTGTAGCACTAACAGATCATCCAATGTTGATGTTGGTCAATATCTGTGGAAAGAAAAATGAATAGAATTTAAACTTTGATTTGTAAATTCTACAAACCCAAAGACATTGGTCTTAAATTCTAAAGGTTTTTTTTCAAAATAGCAAACTGCCCTCAAGTACTCTAGTCATTTATACAGAAACATTATATATCTCTATGTAGGTATTAACATGCAGACAGCGCGCCTTGAGTCCTAATTTTCCCATCAAACAGAGAAATGCATACCTGTTCAAACAAGGGGAGGGGAAAGTTTTAGTCCTTGCAGTTGGCATAATGTTACAGCAGATAAGAATCTGTCAATGTATTGCTAAAGATACTGATGCAACTATGCTTCAACTCAATGTGAGAGGCATCACATTTCTATGATTGTCAGTCACCTTTATCTTCCAAATCACATTATTTATTACTAAATAAAAATTTTTAAAAGGGTCAACTCCAAAACTCCCATGAGTCAAAGATACACCATGGTACTATGGCAATGGTTTTCATACACATTTTCTTCTGCAAACTTGGTCTTTCTGTGCATTTTAACTCCTCATCACTAGCAAGCTGCTCCCAGCAGCTCTTGGTCAGAACCACTATACTGGTGAACCACTGGCAGTCAGCAGCTTGGGCATATTCTTTTACGCTGACTCCGACGTCAAATAAGTTTTCCGCAGAGGTCTCTTTTACCGGTAGCTCTTTCATTAGATGAAGAACTATCAGAATAGGTTAAATCTTTTAAATTTCATGACGAATATAAATATGTATATATGCCACTTTTCAATTTCATACCCAAAAGAGTTGAGTAATTTGCACAAATCTATAGTGGAGTCCGCTTGAACCAAAATCCGTGGGACCATCAGATTTTTTTCCATTTAGCTGGATTTTCCCATTTAGAGAGATTGCTTAAAATAATGATGATTGTCAACAGCATAGAGTTGGGAATACCATTCACGGCAAATTTCACTTTTTGTAACTTTATTCTTATCTACCTCTTTCAGTAACTGCAATTGGAGGTTCAGGCTGTATGCGCTGTGCTTTCTCTTCAACATTGTCAGCTGAACATCTGCCGAACAGTCACTCAAAACACAGATAAGATTAGAGATAGAGAAGTGAGAAAGTTTAAAGCCCTTGTAAGCAATATTGTGAAACACATCACACGTGGTCATGAGCTTATATGTGTAGGGCCTACGTGAACTAGTTTCACAGAGATATTTGCCATGACCAACCTAAGGTTGCAGAACAGATGCACATTTGCTTTCCTTGCGTCACATGACTTATGCACAGAGTGTAGGCCTAATAACAGGTGATAAAGGTAAACTAACAGCACACTGATGATGCCTCTCTCTAGTCCACAGTTAACATAAGTGTTTTCTAGTGTTTATTTCTTGTTTTGGTATCTTTCAAAACGCCTAAGACTATGATTTGTGCTATTTGTGTGTTGTTAGTGAAAATTTAGAGAACTCTAAATAATCCCCAATATCTTTTTGTTTTAGAAATGGGAGCATTTTGGGAAATCGAGTTTTCTAACAAAGAAAAAGAAAAAAACATGGAATATTGTTTTTGGGCGATCCATTTTCGGTTTAAATGGACTCCATTATTTTCATTATATTCATTATATTCATGGTAAATTACACTTTAGAATTAAATTACAGAAGACTTTGTTTAATTCAACATGAAGCTTTCAAACATAAAATTCCTACTCCTTATCTTTCATGTTGCAGGGTCAATTTGTGCTTCACTGAGCCCAGTGGGATCCCCAGTGCCAAAAAGTAAAGTTAGATTAAGCGGTCAATTGCCTTTGATTAGACCAACTGTGTTCCAAGCAAAAGATTGCTTCATATGAAAAAAGTATCACTACATTCAAATCTGCAATTAGTCTTTTGAAGCACCTAATTTTAATAGAAACAGTACGCAGAATACAAGATATGACGAACAGTGATTGCATTATCATAATTTTTCATAGAGTCCTCGTGCTTTGTGAGGCATGACAACCATGAACGTTGCCAAGACGTACCTGGTAAGTCACGAATTTTCAGATTTCAGTCGTATCATGACCATCATGGGAGTTTGCAAAATTTGCCATTCCTAGTTGCCTACAATTATTTAAAATGTTGGGTGTAGCGGGGCAAGGAAAGTCCCGAACTTGGATACAGTGGGAGAGATTGAGCGAGCAGTATCTGAGGCTGGGGGAAAGGGGATGGGCGATGGGGTGGCTGTAGTCAACTGTAGTGTAGGTGGGCTCCAAACAGGTGGTCAGCGGAGCAGCGTTGTGATATGCCAGTCCAGTGATGAGTGAGTGTGTGTGTAGGGGGTGGGGGGGGGGAAGCAGTTACCGTGCACCTAGCTACAGGGGCCACTAGTTAAGTACCCGGTTACCATGTACATAGATACTGAGACTACATGCCCAGTTACCATGTACGTAGACACTCTGTTTCTAGATTCAAAGTGACTTTTTGGAATCGAGTCCGAATAGACAAAAATTATATTCTGACGCTGAAATGGTCCAGCATGACGCCCTTTCCGACTCTTGTTCCTAAATATTTCCAGCATTAATGAAATTTTTGTCGATTATAATGATAACAATCGAGACGTGAGCTTTAATATCCAGTTACTAGATCTGCCTAAACTGGTCGTCCCTGGATGATTAGTTTGAAAAGAACAACTAAGTTGAGTTGACCTTGCCAAGGGAAAAGTTAATTAGGTTGACCAATGAGATTGCACGTAGCTATATCGCCCTCTCGGCTTGCTGTGGGAAGAGATGTTGGGAAGAGGCCACGGCTGTCCATTTTGTGTAATGTGATTTTTAAAAAAATAATTACAGAAAAACTATAACACACAACAAAATGAAATTAATCATGTGACAAGACAAATGGTGGTGGAAGTAATGATGATGCTGTAGTGTTGGTGGAAAGACCGTGAGTTGTCGGTTACCGTGTACTTAGACACTGCCATTGGGTAGATCTAATGAGAGTGCAGTATTTTTTCTTTTGACGCAATTACACAGTCCTTGTAGGCAATTCTAGTTCTAATTCTGGTTTTACATAAAATCCCCCGGCGACAGTTATATTATGCAACCTCCTTACACTCACATTACTCACTTAGATCTAGAAGCTGAGTCTGAATAAATATTTTTTCGGACCCGAGTCCGAATAGACCTAGACAAAACCCATATTCGGACTCGAGTCCGAATAGATAAAAATTATATTCGGACTTTAGTGACGGGGTTGTGCGACAGGGGGGTCAGCGCGACAACCTTGTGGTATGAACCAATTAAGACATGCTAGAGTATTCCCACGTTTATCAACATCCGACAGCACCCTTTCCTGTGGCTTGAGATTCTTGGCTGGTCGCTGAGGTTGTTTTCTGCTCGTACACAAAGGCAAATTATTTCCAGGCTCCCTGATTATGTATTCTAACAGTGCATCGACCTGCAGTCGTAAGGCTGTCAATGCATTTTATGAAGATGTGTATAGGGGCCTACTTGCACTACACACAAAGCAGTGTGTTGTGCGTGTAGCATATCAGTACTAAGCAAAGCACGGAGCCGCTCAGCCTCTCTGTGGGGATGGATGGGGGTAGGCGCACAGTGCCGACATGGCTTCTGGTAAGGCGCGCTTTCGCATCTCAGACCTCTGCAACGAGAACGGGGTAATATTCTATTGCACCAAGGCTCACACCAGCCACCTGACACAGCCTCTGGACCAAGTGTCCTTCGAGGCGATCAAGCCAGCGTGGCAAGAGGGGGTAAGGAAGTTTGTGACGGACACCACGGAATCCGCCACACTGTGATGTTTGCCGCCGTCCTGAATTGAAGGCCTGGACAACAGCAGCTCGGCTAAAAACAGCCATGAGGGGATTCACAAAGTCAGGGCTGTTCCCCTACAATCCTGACAATGTCCTCACAAGTGACAAGCTGAACCCAGCTGCACCTTCACAGGGTCCTCTGTCCCCACCCTCCACTTGTCACACACCTCGTCTCCCTCTGTCCCACCCACCTCTTTTGCCTCTGAACCATCCACGACGTCACAAACTCGCCATCATCGACTCAAGGAAATATTCTTCATGAACTTTAAGCTTGGGGAGGAGAAGGTGGACCTGTACCTCAAAAGGTATGACAATGGATACGACATCAAGATCTACCCCGACTACAACATGTGGTCCAATCTGATGGACAATATTGAACAACTGGATCCTCTGCTCCCCCTGCCATCACTACTTTTTTTTAAGAGCCTTGGAACCTCAGACCCCCTCCATGGAGATGACTATCGACAAGGTGCTCACATTACCATCATGTTCAAAGAACAAGGCCGTTAGAAAGCCTCAGCTACCTGTGCCACCGTCCATCAGTGGAAATGACTAGAAAGAGATGATACTCACGAAGAAGAGGAAGGCAGAAGAAGAACAACAGCAGAAGGAAGGGAGAAAGAAGCAAAGGGAGCAGAGAAAGATGGAACGGCTAGCACAAGCTGAAGACAAGAAGGAACGCAAAAGAGAGAAGGAAAAACAAAGGGAGCAGGCAAAGAAGGAGAAAGAGGAGGAGAAGAAAAAGAGAATTCAGGAGAAAAAAATGAATGCTTTGGTTGTGGCCTCACCGAAGAAGAAAGAGGACGAAGATTCCTCTGACTCAGGAGAACAGCTGGTGTATGACGACAGCTCCGATGATTGTGGGGACATTGCAGTCGACTGTGCTGGGTGTGGAGCCACCACGGCAAGACAAGTGCTCACCCAGTGCATGCTTTGTGACAACTGGTGGCTCGCCCCGAAGGACAAGACTCAGGAAGACCTGGATGCCATGGACATTGAGCTCGTTTGCTGTGTTGACTAATCTCCCCATCCCAATTTGTTTCATACAAATAGTGTGAACATCAATATCTTTGTTTATCCCTGTGCAATTAGATCCACATATATGTATCTCCTTTGCTGTTCTTATATATAATTTAATTCATGATTTTCAGAGTTATCTAGACTCACTAACAGATTACTGTTTCCATTGTAAGTGTTGGCTTCAGTTATTTTTTCGTTTTATTTCTCTTTTGGCTAAACGTAAAAAACTGAGTGTCTCTTGTAACTCTTAACTCTTGTGTAATTTGTAAGAATATTTCCTGCTTTGTGGCTAGAAAATCATACGTTAGCCTACATAATAACAAGTTATTAGGGCACGTTGCGCGCAGCCCCTCCATAAAATGCATCACCTTCAAGCAGGAACGCATCCACACTGATTGTCACACACACCCGCCCTCACTTTGCCTCACATATATACCAGTAAGATTAAGTACTTTACCGGACCACCGGTCGGAACTACCTTCGCTATGGCGCCCCTGGTGCCTAATGGTCCGCTATTCTTCCTTTCCGGGCTCCCCTACTCACTTTCCTACTCAGTTTTCTACATCCCCACCCTTTGACTCAACAACTGACTGATGTCTCTTACTCTTACCAGGTTTTTCAGTCATCACGACCGTGCCACTGTGCCCTTTGTCCCACGACCCTGACACCTTGAGGCTAATTGGTCAATCTAATCACGTGGTCCACTATTCTTTTTTGCTTGCGACTCTGCTAGGCTAGGCCTAGGCCTACACTAATGCCGTTAAACGTAGAAGACGCATCTTTCTGATTGACTGCTAATTTTAGTAATGTGATGTCATCTGGGATACCCACAGACTATTTTAAGAAGGGCTTGGGGGTACGCATAGAATGACGTGTTTCCGGTATGTTAATAACATTTTGGAATTCCAGCATTGACACCGTACGAATGTCAACAATTTCTTTCATTGAGACATTGACGGGTTTGAGCTTCCTAATTTTCCAGTTCACTGCGTCTATTGCATTCATTCTTTGAATGTTTTCTCTGGATCTACCATATATATATATAAAAGAGACTATTCATCATCGGAGCACCCCATCATATCACATTACGGGTATTCCTGGAAAAACATCGCACCAAAGCGTCGTGCCATCCCGTTGGCTATATTTACATTAGTCACATGATCGGAAGGGGTGATCCGGTCTGACGTCACACAAAATGGCCGCCTTACCTAAAAATAGTTTGTGTGTCCTTCTATGTTTTATCGCATGCTAGGCCTACTCCTGGTCCGGCAAAGTACAATGGAGGGCGAGAGATGTGAACGAGAGCTCATAAAAATTTGCTTAATTGCAACCCCCTCGGCCCTGCTCGCGACTTGTCGAGTGCTGCGAAGCAAGGCTCAGCCTGTTCCAACTCTAATTAGATCTACCCTGATTGTCCGCTTGGCTCCATGGTCCGCTCCTGTTATTGTTTATGTGTGTGTGTGTGTTTTGAACCCTAAAACCCCCCACTGTTGTTACATTATATGATATATATGTAAACACCATTGTCTGCCCATATTATTGGTTTAAATTTTCTCATATTATTGTTTCCAAGGGGGCAAGCTCCCCTGAACTCCCCCCCCACTGTTGGCAGTTGGTATGATACATGGTGGTCCAACAGAGTTAAATCCCCTACCCACCCTCAACCACCAACTCTCGCTCACTTTGCCTCACCGCTGACTTGCGCTGTGCACGAAGTCGTCCGTGGAACTACCTTTTGTCCGCACGTAGAGAACTATGAGTGCGCAGTTAGGCTAGGCGTGCGTAGTAATCACAGGCCCAGACAGGTGGTCTGGTAAAGTACAATCTGGTCCAGCCCAAATACCACTACTACTGAGGGAGACAGGCAAACAAAGCAGGCATAGCATGCTGGGCAGACGATAGCGGACGAAATTTGCTTCTTCATCATCAGTTATTGTGCGGTTACCTCTGGCTCTCACCGGGGACTCAAGGTTTCGCACTTTTTATGCTTGGTAGCGCAGACTAGATCTACCTCCTCTACTCTAGATTCTAGAGACTAGAGCGGGCCTTTTAGATTCTAGATCTAGATCTAAATATAGAGTCAAACCGCATCACCGCGCACCTTGTTGGGTGCGCAACCCCCGGTTTCCTGCTTTGTTTTGGATAAGAACAACGAAAACGAGGTTACTTTATGTGAGCATGCGCAGTAACAACTAAATTGCACTTTCGTTTTAGAGGTTCCTGTCTACACACGTGATTCTACGGTGTCAGTAAGTTTTGCCCCTTCATATTGATTGTTTTCGTAATCGGAGTCGGTGAATTACTAAGCGCTTGAGTGGTCGATTATTTAGCTCTTCTGGTTAATCTAGCTCTTATGTATCGTAGAATGTACACTAAAATCGAGCCCAAACGATTGCAGGCTGCTTCTGAATGCCTGGAACATGCCCGATGGGGTTGCGCACTGAAGCGGACCAAATTTGCCCCGTCCGTTTTG